GGGGTTGCGCAAGAGGGAGAGAGAGAAACGAGAAATGAGGAAGCCCAAACAATATAAACAATAAGCAGTTCAATCATCATTAAATGACAATCAAAGACACGTGTCGCTATCACCCGAGTACCGGCCGCACTAACCAATATCGATATCCAATGGACCCAGATGAGGCACTATGTGGCGGCGCGCCCCCTGATTAGCCAGGCGTTGTCAAGTTTCTTTCAATTTTTATTCAATCACACGTCCTTGATTACCTACGAAGAACTAGGGCAAAACAAGGAAAATATGGATCTCGATCAAGGTGTTTCAAAATTTCAAAAAATGTTTCAAAAAATTATAAAAAATATTGTGGAATCAGATCTTTAAGCGCTTTCAGATGAAGCAATAAAAAAATTGTATGCAAATTCTCCACCTCTTTGACATTAATAGTTGCTCTACAAATCATGCTCAGCCGCGCGGTTGGTGAGTGCCTGGACGGCCGAAACGCCTTCAACTCCGTGTGTATGCAACACGGACATCCACCGAGTTCGAATAGTTGCATCCAGGAATTGAAATAAAATTTGTGTGGTGTTCGTCGCATTTGAAACTATCGAAGGGCGGTTTGCTTGTTCTCGCACACCGCAACTTTATTCCTAAGTTGCCTCTTGTGACGCTGAAGTAAACTTTTACTGATTTTCATCGTGACATTGTCAATTTTCCGAATGATGCTTTGAATGCTTAAATTCATAACAACATTGCTTTCTTAAGATGTGGGCTTCGCCCAAACCGTCTTTGCTTTAGTAACGACGATTTTTGCGGCAAAGCCATTTCACCGTCACTTCAAGAATAATGTATGCATCGCAACATATTTGGACATTTTTCCTCTGAAGATTTATAAAAAAGTCCAGTAAAACATGCGAACGGATCTGAAAGACTTGAGAAATTCTGCAAGCACGTAGTATATCTTTATTTATTTAAAAAAAAGGAGTGAAAAAAAGTTTTCTAACTAAATATATAAATATAACAGACTTTTGATCATTCTAAATCATTCCCGATGATTTAAAGAAATTTCCAAATAAGAAATCACGAATTACTAGCTAAAAATTCAAGTTTGTCATTCCACCGCACTCCCCCACCCCATTTTTTTTCTTGAAACAGTACTCTCTATTCCAATCGTTTTCCTATATGAACGTCAGTAACGTGCATTTCCTGCAAATTTGAGTGATGCAACTTTTTTAACTTGTGTGCAGTGCGGTGATGCCTACGGGAAAAATTGAAGGAGCTTGAATTGATTTTGAACCCCGACAAGAATGCCTCCCGTTAAGTACTTGAAATCGCTAACTCGAAGGCTACTTACGTCACCTCTCGGCGCGGAAACTTTCAAGGCAAGTCAGATTTTGCCCAAATGGGTATTACTTAGCTGCAATATATTAGCTAAAACGATGAATTTTTGAAAAATAATACCGAAATTAGCGTCAACGGGAATTCAATATGCTTAATCTTCCATCTGCTCATTCCGTTTGGGCGAAGAATTTCACAGTCAGCCAAGTTGAACGTGGAAGGGAATGAAAGAGCATCCCCAACTCTGGGGGATTCTGGTGAGAACTGTAGCAACTCGAAACGGGACATGCAGACAAATTAAAGCAATTAACAGACAAAGGTAGGAAGAAAACGGAATTGGCCATTAATTGAGTGGTCTAAGTTTAAAAGCCATTTATAATTGGGCCCAAGGAAACCCCGCTCCAAAGGCGCACTGAATAAGGGTGCCCAGCTACTTAATCTTAAGCGAAGGTTTCGCTAAGTTCTGCATCGGGAGTTGAGGGATGGGGGAACATCACCTCCTTACCACCTCCCCTTGCCCGCCACCCCCTTCTCCTGATAATCAAAGAGTCGTTCGTTTCACGATCTTCTCACACTGCCTTGCTTAAGTGAGCAATTTGCTGAATAAACCTCGATAATTAATCGTAGGAAAAAAGGAGTTTCAAGCTTCAGCGAGACATCGATTCTCAATTCTATACTCCACATTCGGCAACCTACACTCCGTTTGACCTCGCCTCGAATTCTCCTTCCTCGCGCGAAAATCAAAGAAATATTCCCAAGAATAAACGTTGACGAATACAAGTAATGGTCAAATGATGGAATTTTTGTAAAAAAAAATAAAAAAAGTCAAAATAATTGATGTTTTAGGAAACCCGTATTTTGGAGTTTATTACAAAAAAAAATTACAAGATGTAAAATTTAGGTATTGAAGAAATATCTTGAAAAAGTCTCAAAAAACCTAATGAAGCTTTGTAACACTTGAAATGCTCGGAAAAAAATTTTAAAAAAAATCTAAAAAATTGTGTTTGTTTACAAAAAGACTTTTCATCTAAATATTACCGGGCACAGATTTTACTTTACAAAATATCAATAAAAGAAGTTTTCCTAGAACACAATTTTCAACTCATCTTTTAAAGTTTTCGAGGCGTGTTTTTAATGGATTTCTTATCCAGGGTCTCTCTTTTGTACAGAGGACGAGGCAACCAGAGTCGCCTCGATTCTTTTTTCTTTTAACATATCGATTACCAAAATCCGTAAAATATCATGCCTCCTGAAGGACGGGTCACGGTCTATTCAGGTCTATTCTGCTGGATCACCCTGTATCTTCGAAGGACCATCCGTAGGTACAATCATTGCAGGCGATGGCGCAATACCCACTTCACCCGTGTTGGTCATGACGTGAAAAGAGAGTGAGGTAGGTCATTGCTCCAGCCGGCGTAACATCCCGGGATGGAGGGGGGCGAGGGGGCCAGAGGGCTATGACGTAGGCGTGCGCAGTCTTGTTGCGAAACCGTGCAAAACTTCGCGAAACAAGCGCATGTAGAAAAAAAGCTGTCCCTTTCAAGACAACATTGTCGCTATGGCCCGTAGTGACGTCACAAAAGCCTCGGCTCTGATTGGCTGGTGGGTTTATCAATAGATAATGGATGATCTCACCTAGTTCTGAGTGGGAGCTATAACCTTGGTCGTCTCTCTCGAATTCACGGTCAGTCGGTAATATTGTCACGCCTTTTTCGTCTCTACATTCTGTTCACCTCGCTTCGCTTCGCGCCGGCCGGTAAAAAAAAACACGTCGCGTGAATATAAAGTGTAATTCGTGTGAGTGAGAGTCAACGCTGCGAGAAAGCACATTGAAAAAAGTCTACTCTCTTTCTTTCTTCGACTCTTTTAACGAAACCTCAAATTAAGTTGACTGCTTATCTTTTCTCTATTTCAGTGGAATTTGCGATAGAGTGCACGCGCGCATCTACAGTTGCAGTCATTCAAGAGGTGAGAAAATTAAAGTGCTTCAAAATTAGGTGATTGCAAAATTCCTTGTACAAATCTAGACTGTGTAGGACCACTAAAAAGTTTTAAGAAGGTACAGGGTGATTCAAGATACAAAGTAAAAATTCAAGAGGGAGATTCGGTTGGTCAGAGAGAATTTCCTTGTGGAGTGACATTTTTCCTTATCGCAGAAGGGAAGCTACACCCACATCCCCAATTTTGAAGGAGTAAATCCCCCCCCCCATGAGCATTCCCCCTCGTGAGATCAAAAATGTATATTATTAAGGCATCTAAAGGTACATCTCAACTATTCGTTTTTAGCTACGTTGAGTTACAGACGTCGTCACAACAAAAAAAAATTGAGTCTCTTAAAAATTGGAAGAGAGCAAATAGCCCGGGAGTTTAGAGTTTCAGTTGTATACGGCTTGTAAGTATGTCCCTACAAAAAAAGAAGTCTTATTTGGGCCGTCAGAATTCACTCCTGAAAATTTTGCTGCTATATTTAAAATTGCTTCGAATGCCTGATCAAAAAAATATATTTTTGGCGGTTTCCTTTTAAACGCGTAAGTAATCGGAGATTTTTAAACGCTGCGATGGAGAAACATGCATTCCTACTTTAACCATCAATATAATATCTTCGCACTGTAGACTCAAAGTAATAACCTGAATTATTGACGAAAGGGGGCTGGTTAAAGGGGCGTAATGTGATATTTCCTGGTAGAGCATTCCCTACGTGGAGAGGGGTTCAGAAAATTTTGGCAAATCAGCACAAATTTACGCTATTTTCAAGTTCAAATAAGTTCATTGATCGCACGGAGTAAAAATTGCAAAATTGAAAGTAAAGCACAGCATTGAGAGCTCACGGTTCGCGTCATCGCGCCTTCAATTTTTCACATGCAGCACGGACGTCCATCAAGTACGAATAGTTGTATCTCTGCGCCGTCGTAAACACGCATCCTTTCCCTCCCTCATTTTACATATTGTGTTTGTTTCCGTTTGTCTTATTCGTAATGGTGCTTCAAGCACTACGTGAGTATTACAGCCGAAGGTAGGAGAGATGTCTTCAGGCCTTTCTTCAACTTTTCTTCCAAATCAGAGGGACGCTTCATTGACAGCACAAAGCAGAGCATTGAGAGCTCACGGTTCGCGTCATCGCGCCTTCAATTTTTCAGATGCAGCACGGACGTCCATCAAGTACGGATAGTTGTATCTCTGCGCCGTCGTTAACGCGCATCCTTTCCCTCGCTTTATTACCATATTGTGTTTGTTTGCGTTCGTCTTATTTGTAATGTTGTTTCAAACTAGAGCAGAGCATTGCGAGTTCACGACTCACGGCATCGCGTCTTACATTTTTCATATGCAATGTGGACATCCATCTTGCGCGAATAGTTGTATCGCGTTTACATTTTAGATGTCTCTAACTTTTGAATTTCGAGATAAATTAAGGTTAAGTTTGCCCGAACTATGCTATGAAATGTCCAAATCAACAGTCATTTGAAAAGGAAGAAATATGTTTAAAGGTCTCTTAAGAGGTCTATAAAGGATGCGTAAGTCTAAAAGTCGAACCGACCATCGCTTCTAGGGGAGTTACACACAGCGAATGAAGGAGGGGGATGATAAAGCACCTGTATGTCATGAAGGAGGTAAAAATTTCACAGAAAGTAGTTCTTGGACCTCTGTTCACCACTATCATGCGTTAAAGCACCTTTCTTTACTCCTAACTGTCTCCTCTTCTGTTCATTTAAGAAATTTTTCTCTCATACTCTCGGTCGTAATTTTTTTTTCTTCTTATTTTGCTATCTGTAAGAGGGGCGCGTTTTCGGCGTGGAAAGGGGGCGTATCTGCCAAAGGCAGATTGGCCTTATGGCCGGTCCGAGCCTGTATAAAGTTATTTCCATGGTATTTCACTAATGATTGATTCGTCTCGTTTACATGTTTTTTTTCCCCGTAAAATTAGGAGAAAAAGTTTTACTCTGAGTTTGCACTTAAATTAAGAAAAAATGAGGGAAGGGAGTTTCATAATATTCCTATTTTGCACTGTGCCTTCTTATACTATGTGCACCATGTAGAGGCTTGTACAACCTTTAAGCTCATTTTTTTCCAGGTCATTAGCACGCTGTTTCAAGACTCGCGCACCTCAAACACTCCGATACCTAACCTCAACCTGAATCCCTCGTCCGACACACAAAATCACAGTATCACAACGACGGCCATGTTTTCCCTCAACAAAATAGAACTAGCGGCAGTTTTGGTGTTCATCTTGAGCAGCGCCCTAGCCTACATCATCCTAGCCTACATCATCCTAGCCTTCAACAACTGGAAACGGAAGTACGAGTTCTGGACGGACCGCAACGTCCGGCAAGTGGGATTCTGGTGGGACTGGTCCATTGATTTCTTCCGGCATAAATTGTGCAACTTGCAGGACATCTACGATGAGTTCGGCGAGGCACCCTACGGAGGCTACTACCAGGGTGCGAAACCCTTCCTCATGATCAAGGACCCCGAGCTAGTTCGACGTGTCCTCATCAAGGACTTCGCTCATTTCGCCGACCGGAATCCAGTAGTCCCCACCACGAACCCTCTGCAGCGCGACATGATCTTAAACCTGAGTAGGGAGAAGTGGAAGGGAGTTCGCACCAAGCTCACGCCGGTCTTTACCTCCGGGAAACTCCGACGTATGAGTATACTCATGAATGAATGCACGAGGCTTCTGGACGAGTACCTCCAGCGGACTGTGGGTGAGTAAGGAGAGGTTTTCCGCATGACTACTTTTGGGGAGGGATGCTGACAGAGATCACGGTCTCCTGTCAGGTATGGACAGAAAAATCGGGAAGGAAATTTCCTACCAACGGGGTGATTATTGAAACTGATAGACAAAGCTATAGACAAAGAAGACGGAGGAAGTACAGAGCGATCCTATTGGTTGACATGGTTGGCTCCTGTAGACTAAGGAAGAAAATGATAGACTAACTGTCGGGTCTACAACGTACGTCACAAAAGCGTTACAAGAGTGGGGAGGGTCAAAAATGCCGAAAAAGTGCGTTACGCAGGGTTACCACAAAATTTAGAGAATGAAATTCCCTGAAATTTCCCTGATTTTCCCGACACATTTGGGTGAAACCCCCGGACAATTGAAGATACGGTCAAAAAGATATAATTTGAAATATAGGTAGTTTCCAGGCAAAATTTGTTGCTCTAAACGTCAAATCCGTTCTAGAGAGCTATTAAAGATGAATTAACAACTTTTCCCTGACTTTTTCGTCATGCCCCTGACATTTCCAGGTTTTCTCTGACTTCTTAAAATTCCCTGACATTTCCCGGTATTCCGTGACTGAGGCAACCGCGGCGTTGGCGTTACGTAAATTTGGGCTACATTTTGCAATTTGGAACTTTAAATTCTAGCCCGGTTTAAAAACAACATATGTGTCATTAGTTTCCCTGTGCACATAAGTGTTTTTCCAGAAGATCCAGAATTAATAGTTCCAAATTGCAAAATGCAGTCCAATTTAACGACCACTACTTTCGGCTTTGCAAGTATATGAAATAAAGAGATATGTTATTATTATTGCAGGCGATGAAGCGACTGAAATAGAAGTGCGCGGTTTATTCCAGAAATTCACAATGGACACGATCGGAATTTGCGCGTTTGGCATCAACTGCAGCGCCATCGAGGACGAAAACTCCGAGTTTCGGCGGCTCCTCCAGAAACTCAACGGGCCCGGTGGATTTCGCAGGCACAAATTATTGATGATCCTCGGCGCTATATGCCCGAGAATCCTGACGATTTTCAACCTGAAGGAAAAGGAGGACACCTTCGTGGAGGATTTTTTCAGATCATTGGTCGCCGACACCATTAAAAATCGAGAGGAGCAAAAAGCCAAAAGAGAGGACTTCATGCAGCTCCTCATCAACGTTCGGGCTGAGGAGCTAAAGATGCTTCAGGAAAATAACGATGACTCTGGTTAGTACAAATATTACGTGTCTCTAAATAGTGGTCCCTTCCAGTTGCGAATTTGCAAGTTGGCAACACTAGTAGGTGTTCCTCGTCAATTATAGATCCATCAAAAATATCGATTCTTGGTTGCCAAGAATCAATTGTTTAACATACATTTAAATGGAGAGAAAACAATTTTGGCAACTTTCAAGAATCGTCATTGCCCTTTTCTTCGGCTTCTCTATCCTCTCCTTAGTTTATTTAAGTTTTAGAGGTGATTTTTCGGACGTTTAAGAATGACTGCAAAGAACTATTTTTTTAAAAAAAAAAAAAACCTTTACAGGGTTACCACATAATTTGAAAAATGAATTTCCCTGGCATTTCCCTTATTTTCCTATATTTTGGTAAAATTCCCTGACAATTGAAGTCATACCAGAGGGTCAAAAAGACATAATTCGAAATGGGTAGGTTTCCGGCAAAGTTTGTTGTTCGAAACGTCAAACCCATTTTAGAAAGCAAACAAAGGTTTTTTAAGAATTTTCCCCTGACCCTTTTAAATTCCCTGACATTTCCCGGTTTTCCCGGTACTCCCTGGACTGTGGCAACCCTGCTTGTAACTTTACGAAGTGATAATTTGTATAATAAGGCTCTAACTAGCCACTCTACCTTTTGGTTTTCTCGCTTGTTTCCAGAGCCTCTCTTTACCGAAGGTGTTTGTATGGCGAATGCGTTCCTGTTTTTCGTCGCGGGATTTGAAACTACCTCCACAGCTCTGAGCTACTGCTTGTACGAGCTCGCTGTCAATCCGGAAGTGATGGAAAAACTTCACGCGGAAATCATGACAGTATTAGATGCCCATGACGGACGTGTTGATTATGACATTCTGAAAGAAATGGAGTATTTGGACACCGTCATTTCTGGTAAATAAACCAAGTGTATCCCTGTTTATGAAAGTTAGGAATATTTGCGCTGAAAGAGCTCGATGCGTGAACATATTTAATGGAACTTAAATGATTCCGAGAAAAATAGCTACTTTAAGTTTAGGAGTTATGAGCGATCGTCTGCCCGGAGAAAAGTTCAAACTGGTCCTGTTCGACTAAAATTTATGTTCTAACATTCCATTTTTCACATTCATAACCAGCTGTCTTTTAACGTATTTATGCCAAAATTAGGTAATTGTTCGTAAATTGATTCAATCAAAATGAACTATCTACGTAGGATTATACCCTCTCGTTACATGCAGATTTCCTGTAATACTCTTTTTTTCCTGAACAATGCGCCTTCTGCTACGTCTGTAGCAATTGTTGTTACGAATATGTTGTGCGTGCTGATTTCATCTCATTACATACTTGACTCTCTGAAGGCGTTTTATGTGCGCAAGTAGCGCAATCTGTCAAAGAAAGAACGAAGTAGAAATTGAGAGATTCATTCATTTCCTACTTCGTTTGTTCTTTGACAGATTGCGCTACTTGCGCACATAAAACGCCTTCAGAGAGTCAAGTATGTAATGAGATAAAATCAGCACGCACAACATATTCGTAACAACAATTGCTGCAGACGTAGCAGAAGGCGCATTGTCCAGGAAAAAAAGAGTATTACAGGAAGTCTGCATGTAACGAGAGGGTATGTATTCGATCGACATGAATCGAACGAAAAATAAAAACGTGATCTGATCAATTCCGATACAATGGACAAATAAATAAAATAGCGGATCACAGTCAGTAGAAAACTTACATTACTATGCAAATTCAAATTGCGATAACTCAAAACTAGGATCAGCCGAGATTTTGATTTTCCTCGATTTTAAGTCCACACGTACCATAGAATCACCCCGCTGCAACCTGTTTTTGGGAGCATTTTTGTCGCTTTTTTTTTTTTTTTTTTTTTTTTGTGCAGGGTTACTAAGCTAAAAGAGAGGAGAAAAATTAAAAGGTCATTTTTTTTTTGCTTCAAGACCACTGTGTTGTCTAGTCCATCAAGGAATAAAGTTTTCCAAAAAGCTCCTCTGTACGCTCAAAACAGATGCAAACGATGCATTTTTGTGGTAATAAATGAGCCCCTTGCAAACCTTCAGTTGGACAAAAGGAAAAACCGCAATTTACTGTCTACAGAACGGCACATCGTAGTAGTCGTGAGCACAGCCGACGCGCCTTCATTCCGTCGCTTATGCAACACGTGCATTAGTCAAGGACGAATAGTTGAATCCAATAATCGATTATAGCCTCTCTGGAATTAAACTTCCTATAAAAGAATTGTAAAATTTTTACACGGTAGAACTCTTTCGAAAAAATTTGTGAGCCTCAAAAATGTCTCTCTTTGTTTTTAGAGACTTTGCGGTTGCACCCACCGGGTGCATGGGTGGATCGTTTGTGCACAAAAGCGTATCAACTCCCAAACTCGACTGTGGTGCTTGCCGAAAACACTCAAATTAATATCCCAATTGCGTGCCTTCATAACGACCCTCGGAATTTCCCTAACCCTCAAAAATTCGACCCGGATAGGTTCAGTCCGGAAAACAAACATAACATCGTCCCAGGGTCATATCTACCTTTTGGCGAAGGACCGAAAGCGTGCATAGGTAAGTGGATTCACATCGTCGTTATTCTGTACACATTTAAAAGAGTCTGAAAACATTGATGAAATGCAATGATGCAAAGAAATAGGTCAAAATAATCTTGCAGAAATAAAATTAGCATTGTGACGGATATCTTCAGTGTCAGTGCTCCTAGAGAGGGAACTTACGCATCTAAGTTTGTTTTAATTTTAAAGATATTTATGAAGATATTTTTGAAGATATTTATGATATTTATTTGTGAAGTTTTCAGATAAAATTCGGACTAAAGTTGTCGTTAAAAATGAACAGGCCTGAAAAATATCGACGTCCACAGGGAGATTTAGGGGGACCAATGGGAAGACGAACAAGTCCTTGATTCCAAAAAAATCGAAGCCTCCTTAAACATCCTTTGCTATGAGATTTACATATTGGCACATTGTCTAAGAGTGTTTTTCCGTATATATAACTGTGACCAATTTCAGAAGGAACGAGGTTTTTTTAAAAAATTGGGGGCCCTCCCCGCAGTTCTACTGGGGGCACATTCATAGAGTACATAGGGTCATAATGGAAGTGGGTGAGCTGGCGCCACTTTTGAGCATTTTCCAAGTCCCGAATACCGAGACTCCTGCGTGTGACGCCGGGTCACTTTTTCGATGCATGATCGATTGTTCGCGATACTCGGGTACCCGGCCATCCGCTGCAAACAAAGAAGATAGGAATCACCGCGTATTCCACACCGCCATTTTGGATCGAACATGTATCGAAAAAGTGACCCGAACTCGACGCACACCGGGCTCGGAACTCGTCGAGCAGAACATGGCGCCAGCTCTCCCATTTACATTACGACTCTATGTACTCTATGGGCACATTTAGGGAAAAAACTCAGATGAAGAGTATTAAAAAACTCTCCTGCGAGCTAGCGGTTTGCTCCTGGGACACTCTATTTTAAAGTTATTAATTTAATTAATGCTGTTATCCGCGCAATGTTTGACTCTGTATTCTGTAAATACGATACAAATCCCTGATGAAAAACACCTCTGTACTGAACTTGTGAACATATTTGTTTGTTATAGCCGAGAGATTCGCTTTGACGGAGATGAAGGCGGCTATAGCGCTCATCGTCAGCAAATACACCGTTCACCCATGCGCAAAGACGGAGATCCCGCCGAAACTGAACCCTCAGACTTTCATGAATACCCCAAAAACAATCTACCTGAAAATATGTCAACGATAACAGTAACGACTTCGGACCTTGATGGCTTTTGATTTACGACCAAGTTTGATCTTTCACGCTGACGGAGCTAACGGAGACTAACGCGAGTGTTTAACTGATTTTGAACGTTAAATACAAATTGAGGCGGTATCCTGAACGGAACTGCCTCCGTTGATTGGAAATGGAATACGGAACATTCCCTGAAAATGGTATTTTTGCGGAACAGTAATTGAGCGTTAATAATTATTTTTCCTACAAAATGTATGTTAAATACAAATTGAGGCGGTATCCTGAACGGAGCTGCCTCCGTTGATTGGAGATGAGATACGAAACATTCCCTAAAAATGGTATTTTTGGGGAACAATAATTGCGTTAATAATTGTTCCTACAAAATGTATGCTGTTAAATACAAATTGAGGCAGTATCCTGAACGGAACTGCCTCCGTCGATTTTGAGATGAAATACGGAACATTCCCTAAAAATGAAATTTTTGGGGAACAGTAATAGATTGATGATGAACGTCAATAATTATTGTTTCTACAAAACGGATGTGTGCATTTTTGCGAGGAATTAAGGGCAAAGAAAAGTGGGGCAGAATCCCCTTCAAATGATAACTTCTGCAATTTTCGTGTCATGTGACGGATTGAGGAAAATTGACATCTGATCGAGGCTCGGTTTCAGGCCTCCGCAAGAACGGATTGTTTTTAAAAGGAAATGTGTCAATTTTTAGATGCGCTCTATAAAACCACATGTGAAATCATGCAGCTCAGGGCTCATTGGAAGATGAACATATTCCCTTTCAGAAACAATTCATTCGTATCAGCCAGCATATTCTTCTCTCTTTGACATGTTCAATTGAAGAACTCTATATTGTGCAAGTTTCATTAAATTTTACAAACCGTGAGATTTATAAAGGTTGTTTTTGAGCAATTTTAACGAATTATTTTTTTAAATGTCTCAGTTTTATGCTCATTGTCTAAGGTGACTTTTTCAAAAACCAAGATTCAGGCACGCATTTTGCGGAATTTTCATAAAGTATCATGACCACAGAAAAAACTAAGAATACTTCCAGAGGTGTACATTTGTACGATAGGTATTCATTGGAAATGCAGTTATTACAGATTTTTTAAAAAAAAAAAAAAAAAAAATCGACAAAAATTAACATACATGTGTGCAAAAATAAAATAAATGAAAAAAGAGAATACCAAAAGTTAATACTTGTAGTTTTTTCCTTTAAGCTCCTTAAAATCCAAAAATCAGTCATGCGCAACCGTTATTTTGCTGATGATTCATCTGGAATCCTGGATTGTCAATATACGATAAATGGTAATTACATTTTCATGGAGTTGAAGTACAGTACTGCCAGCTAAGGAAAAACACCGTATGAACCTGCAGGCATCGCCAAATTTCCTTTGATAAAACACGAATTTTCCCGAAAGCTTATAAAGATTTTCCTCCCAATTTTTCAGATAATTTCGTTCGTAATTTCACCTAAAGCACCTGAGAATTTCAAGGAAAAATACGTATAGCCTCCCGCGAAAATAAGCATTTATTCAAAGGAAATTTGGCAACTCTCGGATGTTTATACGGCGTTCTTCCTTAGCACAATAGAGTAATAGGAAATCGTGGATCTAATGCCTGACGTGACGTTATACATGCTCATAATTGGACTGCATTTTGCAATTGGGAACTATAAATTCTGGCTCTTCTGCAAAAACACCTTCGTGCATGAGGAAACTAATGGCACATACGTCGTTTTTAAACCGGGCTAGAGTTTATAGTTCCAAATTGCAAAAGTACTCCAATGATCTGTCCTAAGAAAGGTGTGAAGTTACATCTCTCAATTTCATGTTCTGAACATGGCGCACAAGCAGCTTTTCTCCCGAGACTACGTTTGTTAAACTTGCGAAACCTCTAAATGCCATTGCTTAGATTTGGTTTGATATTTTTGAGCATTTTTCTATTCTTAAATATTTGTGGAACACTCCTCCATGCTGTGGTATCAATACATCAATTTTGCATGTTTGTTAACTGAGGCTTCTTCCCAAGTAGCACAGATTGTAATAAGTAGCATCTACATAGTAAAAATAGTGCAGTTCCGCTGAGTGTTATGTATGTTGCCTAGCTCCTATTTGAAGGGGCTCCATTTATTGAAATGTATTGCAATCTAATTTAAATAAGTTGCAATTTTTCATTTCATTGCATATTGCCTCTCTTTCTAACACATGAAGCTCTATTTTTTGATTGCTTAAATTCGGCATAAATCGACTTAATGATGTAAAAGTGTTGCAATTTAATGCTAAAAAAATTACAATTTTATTGAAATCAAATTGGAATTAAATTTCAATATTTTCGTTGCATTGTGCTACTGGGATTTCTACGCAAACGATAACATATACATAAGTATTTTGCGTAAATATGTCTCTCAGAGCTATAAACATAAACAAGCAGGTAGGCTAGTGCGCAACACGGTAACTTGCTTGAGCTGAGCGAAAACATTGAACGAATTCAAAAACTCGTCTTTATCCTTGAGAATATGTGATCGTAAGGAGCAAAGTTAATTTCAAGGAGGCCTGCTCTTTCACGTTCATAACTGCAAGCACCATTACCCGACCAGAGAAGGAACTATACCTACTTTAACGCCACTTACCCCCATTAATCGCAACGGCAATGATTGTCTGAACACAAAGACGCATTCTTTGTCAGGTCCCCGCTTGTATTTTTACCGCGCATGACCGAGATTATTTTGCAGGGCTGTACTGGCGAGCAAAATAATGGTTACTCAAAATTCCAACCGAATCAATTTTCAGAATAAGGGAGTTACGTGTGTCTATGGTTGGCTGCCACCTTTTTTCGTTTGGAGGCTTTCCAGTGTTGTCGAGTTTAGACTTTGTCCGGAGGTGGCTACCGCCACCCATGATTAATAAACACTTATACGTATGCATCATTATATGCGCACTCAATATAAAGAGAGTGACCCTTGAAAGCCAAAAATATTTCTAAATTAATTTTAAAAAAAATAGCGCGCGATAGGCTGCTTATATGCAAAATTCGACAGTTTTTTAATTTTTTTTTAGAAGTCTAATATGTTGTTATCAAATGTTTAAGAAGTTTAAAAATGTTTCATCCTCAGATGCCCAGTCAGGCATTGGATCAAATTTACCCGAGTCTTGCTGAAAACAAGTGGCCCGCGGGTTGTATGGGGCCGGTATCTACGAGCTTTAGATACGAAGATCTATAGATACGTCCTGGGGAAAAAATCAAACATCAAATTTAAAAAAAAAAAGAGAAAAAAAATCAAATGTCAACACAGCCGAAAATAGGAAAGACGTGTTCGGGCCTACTTTTTTCTTTTCTTTTCTGCCGAATTTGAGCGACACCTCATTGGCAGCATAGTGCGAATCATTACGAGTTCACACCTCGCGCCATCGCGCCTTCAATTTTGCAGATGCAACACGGACATCCATCAAGTACGAATAGTTGTATCTCTGCGCCGTAATCCCAATCAAGCGCGTGTCTTTTTCGCTGCTGTATTTCCATATTATACTTGTTTTCGTTGGTCTAATTTGTAATGACACCTAAAGGGTCACGTAAGCAACATGACCGAAGAAAGGAGAGACGTATTCTCTACAGAAACTCGGGACACAAGACCGCGCAAAGAAGCTGAATTTGAGCGACACCTCATTGCCATCAGAGTGCGAAGCATTACGAGTTCACACCTCGCACCATTGCGCCTTCAATTTTGCAGATGCAAACGGACATCCATCAAGCACGAATAGTGGTATCTCAGCGCTGTCATCAATGCGCGTCTTATTCCTTGCTCAATTTCCATATTATGTTCGTTTCCGTTTGTCTTATTTGCAATGACACTTCATGGGACACGTAGGCAACTCAGCCGAGGATAAGAAAAACATATTCGACCCTATAGTTGTTTTTAACTTCTCTGCGCCGGATCGAAGCGACACCTCATTGGCAGCACAGAGCGGAGCATTGCGTGTTCACGCCTCGTGCCATCGCGCCTACAATTTTGCAGATACAACACGGGCATCCATCAAGTACGAATAGTTGTATCTCTGCGCCGTAAACCTAATCAAACACGGTCCGTTTCCTCGCTCTATTTCCATATTATGTTTGTTTCCGTGTGTCTATTTCGCAATGACACTTCTAGGGCCACTTAAGCGACATAGCAGAAAAAAAGAGAGACGTATTTTCTACAGAAACTCGGGAAACAAGACCACGAGAGGAAGCTCATAGAGGACCTTTCACAGCACGCACATTTGATGCGGTTGCATGGACGGCTGTCGCGTGAAAAAATGGGAAAGCTGTGAAAAATAGGTGAACCGGCGCGCGTTTGCGCAAAAAGGGCGTGCTCATTGTAAAATCACGGTAGTTTTTAGAAAGATAGTAAAAAAAATTGTTACCTTAAAAATTTGGGAGGAAATGTGTTAAAAGTAGGCTTTTTCTGCGTCTTTGGAGGAAAGTTTTTGGTCACACACTGGAAAAAAACACATTAGATCTAGACTCCAGACTCTTAAAAACATCGACAAGAAAAAATACTCTCGATTCAATCAGATTTAAGCTTAAATCAAGAACGCAGCCTCTTGAGTGGATTTCCTCTTAATTTTACTTACTCTCCTATCTTTGTTACAATCTTTAAAATTTATTATCAACTATATTATTGTGAGCAATCCGATCGGATTCAACTGCAGCGCATCGAACATGCGGCGTGATACTTGGCAACATGGATGGAATACTGGAAACGAAATAAGCGTTTTCTCATCAAAACAAAGAGCAGACGAGGAGGAGCAGTTGGAAAGCTTTTAGAAAGTACACGATAAGCTTGGAGATGGAGACAAGAGAAAAAAGTTTGATCCTATACAGCTCGTCCTGCGATGAATAATGCAAGGAGCAAAAAAAAAATGCTGTAGGCTAAAATAACGAAGACAGTATTCACGCAAAGGGATGGGGAAAATTACGGGCATCGACGCGACGTTAAGACCAGATTCAAGCGTCATTTCAGTTTACATCTGGCGTGGGATCGGCGTAAATGCTCCGCACGAGTCGAGAGGAGATGGCAGGAGGAATAAAACTCTCGGTGAAATAAAATGAAACATTAAAATATGGTCAGCAGTTCTATCCCACTTGTACATTTTTGAACCTTAACTATTCTCAATTAAAAGCATCGATTGCAAAAAAATTTGAATGGACCACTAGACAAGGTACGAATTTAAGCAATCTGATACATGTTGCTTAACCAGAATTTCACGTAGAACACGATTCACACTATGAAAATTACCGAAATCAACTTCTAACGAAGATATTAACGTTTTTATTTCGCACTGATTACGAGGAATTTGAACTGCCCGCTCACAAGAAACTCAAAGCTCTACGTGAGTCAAATCGCGCACTACAACGGTTTCAGCAAGCTTCTCAATCGAGCAATGTTCATTTTCCACCATGTGTTGTTCAAACTATTGGTAATTTGCTATAGCTGAGTCAAAGTGTCAAGATTGAAGTTGAAGATTTTTACATCGCAGAGACTGTCATGATAAACATTTAGCGCGCGATGTGAATCACGTGGAGCATTGAGTTTTCATGAGCGGGTGGTTCGAATTCACGCATCAAGAATCATTGAATATCTTCGTCAGGAGTTGATTTTGGCAATTTTCGTTGTGCGTATCGTGTTCTACGTGAAATTTTGATTGAGAAACATGTATCAGAATGCTGAAATTCGTACCTTGTCTAGTGGTCCATTGCCTGGTCAAAAGAAAACAAATACTCAACGAGAGTTAAATCAAGCATCACAGCGGTTTTGGCAGGCTTCTCGATCGAGAGTTGTTATCTTTTCCTACCCTGCGTCGTTCTTTCGCTTTCGACAACTTGCTATAGCTTGGCTAAAGCCTCAAAATTAAAGTCGCCGATTTTCAAATCGCTGAGACAGCCACGGCAACGTTTACCTAGTGTGTGATTTGACTTCAGCGGTTTTTCCCAGGTTTTTTCACGAGCGGGAAGTTTAATTCACGCATACAAAAAGTCATTATCTTAATTAGGAGTCCCTGTCAGTGATTTTCATTGAGCGAATCGTGTTTTACATAAAATCTTGTTTTAGAAACACGGATCAGAATGCTGATCCGTGCGCTGTCTACGG